CTCATGCCTGATGTGACGCCTGGGCCAGGACAGAGTCTCGGGGCCGCCACCCTGTGGCTGCCACCTGCGGCCCGGGGGCAGCTGGCCTGAGAGCCAGGCTGGTGCAGTTAGTGTGCCGGTGGGATCCAGGCAGACCCGGTCCTCAGCGTCGCTGCTGAGCCACAGTGACCGGCCCGGAGCTGCCCTGCCGTGGGCTGCAGGGTCACTTTCCTTCATGCTGCTTGGGACATGTGCTCCCTGTGCCCAAATGCATCCTAAGCAACACAGAAGGGATATGTAGCAAAAGGCTGAGGGAGGAAGGGAGTCTTCTCCAGGTTTTTAAGTTTCAAAATAAGGAAGAGAGAGCCTGGCCCAGACAGGGTGCCTCAGTGGTTGAACGTCAACCCATGAACAGGAGGTCGCTGGTTCAATTCCCGCTCAGGACACATGCCTGGGTTGTGGTTCGATCCCCAGTAGGGGGCGTGCAGGAGGCAACCGATCAATGATCCTCTGTCATCACTGATGCTTCCATCTCTCTCTCTCTCTCTCTCTCTCTCTCTCTCTCTTGCATCTCTCTCTCTCCCTTCCTCTCTGAAATCAATAAAAATATATTAGGAGAGAGAGAGAGAGAGAGAGAGAGAGAGAGAGAGCCTGTGTGCCCAGCCAAAGCTCTGGGAGAGGATGTGTTGAGTACATACACAGTCCCCTCTTCCCAGACACTCAAGATGGCCCTGGGGGTGGTGTAGAGAGAAGCAAGGAATGCCAAGGTAGAGCCGTAGATCCCAGCCCGAGCACCCCAGATGAGCCTGGTAAAGAGGGTGCAGAGAAGACCCCCAGCAGGTTTAGGGCATCTGAGGGGCCATCCTCTCTCCCCAGGCAGAACCCCAGGGAGGCAGCTGACACCCCGAGGAAGAAATGGCCACATGGTGTGTCCAGGCGGATGAGGGACAGCATCTGTAAGCACCTGTGCAGAAAAGACCTGGATGCCCCCCGAGGCCTGAGGGCCCCGGAGGCTGGCCTGTGGGCGGAGCCAGGAGCCTGGAGCAGAGGGGACACGGACAAAGTCAGCAGCGGCCCTGTGAGCTTGCAGTGCCACCCCAGCCGGCCAAAGCGCGTTTCTTTGACTTCGGCAGGAAGGAAGTGCCTGATGGAAATTAAGTTCAGTCGTGGAGACATAAAACAAGTCCTAGTTCGTGTGTGGCTGAGTTTGTGACGTCGATTCATTACCTCCAGTGCTGAGAGGCCGTCAGCCAGCTGAAGGTGGGCCCGCACCCCTGCCCTCACCCTGCTGCTCCCCTGCAGAGGGTCCCTCACTTCTTCCTGGACCCCAATGACTACCTCCTCCAGCCCACACCACCACCCCCAGGCCGAGACTTCACCCCCTCCCCTGCCCCTGCCCCACCACCCCGGTGTTTCCTGGCCACCCAGCCTCCCGACCTGCTGGGTGTGCCGGCCAGGGGCGCCCAGCCATCCGGCCTTGGCCCTGCTCGCTCTTGACTCGTGTCATGGAAATCCCTTCTTCCTCTCTGGCTCGCAGGCCCCGGCTCTCCCTGCTTGGCCCCTCCCATAATGTTCTTGCCATCTGTTTCTGGTCGTGTGGCGTGTCTGCCTACGTTTTCCCGTCCTCCAGATGCACACGTGGCAGCATGTGGCTACTGGGAGGAGCCCGCGGCGCTGGCAGGGGGAGGGGAGCCGAAGAGAGCGGTGCATGATGTCAACCCTGATCTGGCTTCCCGCGGCTCCTCTGCCGCCGCTGCTCAGCGAGAGCCGTTCACCCCACACCGCCATGTGCCGCCACCAAGCACGCACTAGACACCCCGCTCTGGACAAAACCGAGCCTCGCAGGGAGGAGGTGACAAGCCCGGGTCACACACACGGGAAGTGATGTCTGTTCTGAGCCAGGAGCTGTGTGAAAACGTGCGCCCGGGATCAGAAGGCCCTGGGCTGGCTCCAGAGCCCACACGCTGAAATTTGAGCTTCTCTGAACATGTTTCAAGCCCCTGGCGCATGCACTTCATATTTTCCGGAACAATCCACAGTAATTTCACGTTTTCTGCCCCAGGGTTAGTCCCTAGGTCTAATTTGGGGTTCCGAAAATACAGTCACGGATAGAGCCTCCAGTCCCCCCAAAGGCGTCAGGGGGGCACAGGAGCACACATTTTAAGTCTGATGCAACAGATAAGGACAGTGATGGGTCCGGAGAGGCCAGACAAGTTACCCAGCACCCTCCACGCCTCCAGTCCATCCGAGCCCACCTCCTGCCCCGGGCCTGCCCTCCCGTAGGACCAGCACCGCCTGGTAGACCCTTTGCCAGGGCGGGACCCCGCCTGCTCCCTCTTCCCACCCCTCTGCTAGCAAGCCTCCTGCCTCCTTTGAAGTCCAGTGGGGACACAGCCCTCTCCCCCCCGCCCCCCCATCACTCGTTTCCAGGCATTGTCCCGGGTCCTCCCCTAGACCACAGCACAGCCCCCTAACTGCCTCCAGCCCCTCCCTCTGCAATCCATGCTCCACCAGTGACCTGCCTCTGACGCCAGCTCTAGCCAGTGACTGCCCTGCTCAGATCCCTCCAGCTGCTCCCCAGCACCTGGGAGGTCAAGCCCAGACTTAGCCTGACATTTAGGGCCTTTCACACTGGCCCCTACCTGTCCAGTCTCCAATCCCATCTCCTCCCCCACCCCTCCTTCCCAAACATTTCTCTAGCATATGGTCTTTCCCACTGTCCGGAACATAGACGGTCCCACCTCCAGTCATTCATCCCCCCATTTCCTGTCCCCATAACGTGCGCCTTGCAAACCCTCATTCACCTTCCAAGGCCCTTCTTTTCTTTTTTTAATTTTTTAAATATATTTTTACTGATTTCAGAGAGGAAGGGAGAGGGAGAGAGAGATAGAAACATCAATGATGAGAGAGACTCATTGATCGGCTGCCTCCTGCACGCCCCCCACCCACCGGGGATCAAGCCCGCAACCTGGGCATGTGCCCTTGACCGGAATCAAACCTGGGACCCTTCAGCCCGCAGGCCGACGCTCTATCCACTGAGCCAAACCAGCTAGGGCTCCAAGGCCCTGCTTAAATGTCCCCTCCACTAAGCAGCGTGCCCTGACTAACCTCTTCAGAATTCCCCTCTCTTTCCCGGATCCCCACGTGGCAGGTCTAGCCCACCCATCCTGGCCGCAGCCACCAGGACGCGACACCAGCTCTGCCCGTTTCCACTCAGATAACTGTCCGACCCCTCTGGCCCCCTCCACAGTTTCTGCATTTGCCCCAGCCCACCCAACCAAGCAATGGCCAAGCCGGTTGACTCGAGGAGTGGAGTGCAGGGCCACTCGTCTGGCCTCTCTGGACCCATCACTAGCCTTATGTGTTGCCTCGGATTGAACTGTATGCTCTTTTGCCCCACGGAAGCCGTGGGGGTGTTTGAAGCTGTATTCATGACTGTGTTTTCAGAACCCCAATTAGGACCAACGGACTAACTATGGGGCAGCAAGACGAGGTCCCCTGACTCCTATTCTCCTGCCGGCCCTCCTCAGCCTTCCCTTTCTTGTTGCCTAACATTTCAGAGAAAGAATGTCATTTGCGTCATTGAAGGGATGGCGCCAGGGTGGGGATGTGGTTATGCGGGCAATTCGCCAGCTCGCGGGAGTCGGCAGGACTAAGCAGTGCAGCTCCCAGGGGACACCGTCCCCACAGACCTGGCAGCAGGTTCGGGGCCTCCAGTTTCCCAGGGCGCTTGCCCAGGCCCCATCCAAACCTTGCCTATGGGGGAGTCTCCATCACAAAGATCTAGGGCAGTGGTTCTCAACCTTCTGGCCCTTTAAATACAGTTCCTCATGTTGTGACCCAACCATAAAATTATTTTCGTTGCTACTTCATAACTGTAATGTTGCTACTGATATGAATCATCATGTAAATATCTGATATGCAGGATGGTCTGAGGCGACCCCTGTGAAAGGGTCGTTCGACCGCCAAAGGGGTTGCGACCCACAGGTTGAGAACTGCTGCTCTAGGGGCTCTGCCCACCCATCGAGGCCCTGCCACCAGGTCAGGAACTGGGATCCCATGGGGGGAACCGGCCCAGACAGTCCAGGCGCCGCTCTGATCCGGGGATGGAGGAAGTGCTTGCGGCGGGTCGGATGACACAGCCCATCTCGGAACCCTGAGCCAAGTGGCCTGGAAATGCCAGGGCCTTTGGCCCTCGTTTGCACAGGACAAACTGCAATTCCCCTGCTCGGCAAGAAGTTTCTGAAGCTTTGCTGCCTCAGCGACCAGCAAACCACCCCCCGCCTGCGGGTCCTGGGCAGTTTGGCGGTTCATCCTTTATAGAATGTTCTTCCGCATGCTGCCCAGAAGCCACCAAACACAGCGACAGCCACCCACTCGGCGCAGGGTGCCCCACTCAGCTCGGCAAGAGGAGTCCACGTGGACGACTTTAAATACATTGTGAGGAGCCACTTTCTAGCGTAGAAAGTCAGCCACTGTCCTCGTGGTGTGTGGTTTCCTCCAGAGAACCCCCAACAGTTCTCTCGTCAATATTAAACATAAAACACGAGACCAAACCCCCAGGTGAGGGCCTGGGCTCATTCAGCACTGACCAGCACAGACTCCATCCGTGTTCTCTGAGGGAAGGGATGGGCGTGCTCCTCCCTGCAGCCTCTGTGCCTAGTGGGGCACCCAGCACACAGTAGGTGCTCAATAGGAGTGGTTCAGAGGATGAACTCGGCGCTCGCTCACCAGGCAACCTCTCTTCTAGTCCTGATGGCGCCTCGTGAGGTAGCTTATCATCATCCCCATTTCACAGACAAGGAAACTGAGGCTCAGGGGAGTGGGACCTTCCCGAGGCCACAGCCAGGGTGTCGCACAGCAGACTCTGAGGCGGTCCCGCTAACCCCAGAGCAGATCGGCTGCCTGAGTGAGCGAGGGGCTGGGTTCTTTGCGGGTGGGGAGCCTCAGTCTCCCTGGATATGGGTCCCCTGGGTCTCCCAAGGGCGCTGAGCAGAAAGAACCAGGCTGAACTGCCAAGAAGACACGCACCTTTAATCACGCTGGACAAGGGGGCAGGGGCAGGCGGCTGGGAGTGGCTGTGCCCTGGCCTGCGCACAGTCAGGCTCTGCTGCCATCCCCAGCCACGCAGCCACCACGTGGCCCCTTGGCTGTATGTGAGCACCAGAGACCACCCCCAGAGTCTGCGTAAGCACCAAGACTGGAGGCCGCCTCCCGGGGGAGAGGGTCAGGCCACCTGGACGGGGGAGAGGAAGGCTGGGGGACACCAGGCTGCCCACCTGGGAGGGGAGAAGGGGCAGGAAGCCTGGTGTCCCTTACTAGCGTCTGATTCTTCCCAGGAGAGAGGGGCCTGGGCCTCTCTCGGCATCATGGCTCAGAGGAGGGAGGGTCCCCCTGACTGACCTGAATGTTACCCGCTTCAGTTCCTCAGACCTGCTGAGGGTCCAAAGCCTGGCGCCCCTGCCCTGGCATCTCCAAAGGCAGCACCAGGCCAGGGGAGACTGGGTCTCAGCACCTTAACGCTCAGAGAGCGGGGACACTGGGACAGCAAGAGGGGACAAGGAGGGTCAGACAGCACCTGGGGACAGACAGCAAGGTCTGACGGGCCGGGGAGCTCGGGAGAACCAAGGCCAGGTGTCTAGGCGGGGGGGCTGAGAGTGGTCGTGGCTGAGCCCCAGAGGGGACAGGGAGGGTGCTGTGAGGAGGACGGGAGTCCTCGCAGGTGCCTATACAGCTGTATGGGGAGCTAGGGGGCTGGGGGCTGCTTTGATGACAGGCATGGAGCAGGAATGAGAGGAGGCCGGGAACACCCCATCTCGGGGGCCCTGTCCCACCAGCCTTGGGGACCGCGGGTGATGAGGGGCCACGGTGTCTGAGTGCCCGGAGCCCAGACTTCTGTGACAAGAGCACCAGCGTTTCTCCGGGTCAGGTCTCGGAACCCTCCGTCTCCCAACGGGCAGGGCTGCGTGCCCACCGAGCGCAGGGTCTGCGTCTGACCCGCCCCAGCCTACCCGGGGCCTGGCACCGAGTGAGCTCACTCGTGAGGTTGGATGAATGACAGAACGAGCAGCTGCACAGGTGAGGGTGCAGGCGAGAGTGAGAGAGGGAGGGAGGAGGGGAAGCCCAGAGAAGCGAGAATGTTTAAGGATGTTGTGATGATTCTAGAATGTTCAGAGGGTTCGGAAAGTTTCGGAAGAAAGTTCTAGAGTCTGGTTACTGCAGTGTGGCCCATCGGCCAGCAGCGCGAGCGTCACCCATGAACTGACCGGACATGCGGAGTCCTGGGCCCACTCCACGCCTGCCTGAGAGAATCTGCGTTTTAGCACGAACGGTCCCCAGGCGATTCCTGTGCAGGTTCAAGTTTGAGAAGTGCTGGTCTGAAAGGCTGGGCAGGTTGTAGACTATTTAGGTTAGAAGGCTTCTCAAAATACGTTCAAGAGAGGGGATGGCAGAAACAGCCTGGGAGGGAGGGAAGGGGGAGGAGGGCTACCCGCAGTGCCAGGCCCCGCGGGCCCACTGTGCAGAGGGGGACACTGAGGCCCCTCGGGGGATGGGCCCGCCCCGCCGGGGAGCCGCCCCGCTGGAGGCACTAGTCGTCCTCGGGCTTGATGAGGTGGCCGCTGAAGGTGATGTAGATGTCCACGTCGTCGCTGTAGATGGCGTTCTCCCGCTCGCGCTTGAAGAGCCGCGCCCAGACGCGGTCGCCGGGCGCCAGGGCCAGCATCACGCTCTGGCTCTGCATGATGCTGCGGTCGCTGGGCTGCGCGTACAGGATGACGGCCGCCTCCTCGTTGTGCATGACGTGCACGTAGGTCTCCTTGAAGTTCCAGCTGTGCACGTTGAGGCTGAAGAAGTAGAGGCCGCCCAGCGGGGCCACGAAGTGGCCGGCGGCCATGTCGAAGTGCCCGTCCGGGTTGACGAAGACCGTGTCGAAGGGCAGGGGCTGGAAGCCCTCGCTGCTGTGCAGGGCCGTTCGGCGGCCCACGGAGAAGGCGGAGAAGCGAGTCTGGCAGGGGCTGCCCGGGCTGCCCGCTGCCCCTTGTCACCCTTGGTGCCCTGGGGGCCTCGCTCTCCCCGGGGACCCTCCTTGCCCAGCTTCCCAGGTGTGCCCAGCAGGCCCCGGTCCCCTTTGTCACCTGTGGGAACAAGGGGGAAGTCAGGGCAGGCCCCCGGCCCCCGGGCCTGAACGAAGGGGGCACCTACACTTGACTGTGGAGGGCTCTGCTCTGCCCAGAGAAGAAAGGCCAGAGGAACCAGCATTTGTGGAGCACCTACTGCCCGCCGGGCATGGCCTCCCTGAATGTCCCTCTAGAGAAGACACCAACCATTTCCTCTCAGAGAGGTTCAGTGACTCGCCCAGGGTCGCACAGCTCAGGAGCAGGAGAGCAGGGCTCCGCCTCCAGTCTGTCTCCACACCCGCCCATCCCCGCGCCCTAGGGCTCTGGGAAGGCAGGCCCAGCCCCCCTCCCCGCCAGGGAAGGGGGACACTGCATGAAGCCAAGCTCCAGGGGGGTGGGCAAGTGGCAGGGTGCACTCTGCACTTCTGACCCAAAGAAGGAACCAAGGAAAGTACCCCAGGAAAGCCCCCCTGGTAGGAGCCAGGCAGCCCTTGGCTGGCTTTACCCCACTGTGTGCCCAGCCCTAGCTGGGGTCTTGGCTGTTGAAAAGGCGAGCCCTCAGCAAATGCCGCGTGGGAAAGCGCTCTGCAAACTCCGCAGACACGAAGCAGGACCGTTCACCTAGCACTGCCTGGCCCCTCTCCACCTGCCCGGGCGTCTGGCAGTAGCTCACCTGACCCCCAGGCAGACATGCCTCTGCCCTGCCCTTGTTCCAGGCTGACCTTGAACACGAGAAGCAGGTGGCCACCTATGCCTTGAGGGACCTGATCCCAACTACTTCCCTCCGCTCAAACCTGCCCCTGCGCCCCAGCTCACTCAGAGGAGAAACCCAAGTCTGATCTGGGCCCTGCTTCATCTCCAACCCCAGTTCTTTCCCTTGCCACTGTGCCTTAAAACCCCAGGCCCACTCCCACCCCAGGGCCTTTGAACGTGCTGTTCGCTTTGCCTGAAATGCTCTTCCCCAGATACACATGGCTTCTCCCTCAGTGAGAACTGACCATCCTGCTTGATAGGCAAGCTGCCCCCAGACCTGCACTCCCCATGCCCCTTACCCTGCCCCACCTTGTCATCTCCATGGCATTTGTCACCATCAAACGTTGTATCTCATTAACTTGGTAGTATGCTGATTGCTGTCTGCCTCCCCCACTAGAATGGAAGCGCAATGGTGGTGGGTATCTCTGATCTGTTCATGCTCCAGCCCCAGAATTCAGAAGAGTCCTGACACATAGTAGGTGTTTAATTCATGTGTGAACGAAAGGGTCGGGAATAATTGTCTGTCCTGGTTTCTCCTGCTTCCTCCACCTCCCCTCCCCAGGCCCAGGAAGAGACCCCCCATGCCCTCCATGTCCCCGGCCAGGCCAGTCCAGCCTGAGCCACGTATGGGTACTCACCCTTCAGGATGGTGATGTTAATGTAGGGCCTGACCTCAGGCCACACGTATGGGAGGGAGGATGGCGAGGCTGCAGACTCATCGGCAGCATAGGCGGGGGCCAGGGGGTCCTCAGAGTCACAGCACCGTCGGCAGCGCCCGGGGGGACTGGAGGCCAGGACTTCCCCAGAGGTGTGCTCCTCGGTGGGGACCCCAGACACCAAGAGAGGGAGCAGAAGGACTGTCCAGAGGAGGTCCAGGGCGGCTGTCCCCATGGCGGCCTGGAGCGGGGGAGGAGGAACAGACAGTCTATCTAACTTCACATCTCCGCTGTGCCCGTGCCCGGCATGCATGCTGCCACCCACAGCAAGTGCGTTCCCGACATAACTCGGGGAAGGACGCCAGGGCCCCCACTTAACAGACAAGAACACTGAGGTCCACACAGAGAAGCCAGTTCTCCAAGGTCCCAGAGACTTGTGGCCGGCAGGGCAGGGCAGGGCCTGGAGGCTGAGTCTCCCGGAAGGATCCCCGTCTCTGAAGGCGCTGCCACGCAAGGTCCCCGAAGGAGGAAGCCCCTCCAGAGAGAGCCACAGCCCAGCAGGGGAGGCTCCTGGGGGACCTTAGCTGGGGTGGGTGAGGAAGGCGCCCCAGCTGCCCCTGGGCCAGAACCACTGAGACTGTCAAATGCTCTCCCCACCCTCCCCCTGCCCTCTGGCTTGCTCTCTCTCCATTGACAAGTGAGAGGGCCCTTGGGAGGAACCCGCAGGCTTGCTCTGTAAGGGAGGGGACTCCGGCCGAGCCCATGGTTTGGGGCATGAACGCGAGGTCCTGACAAAGGAGCTAGGAAAGTTCGTTCATTCTAGCAGGCAGGTAGCAACTTCCATCAGAGAACACACGGGTTCTGCGTGGGGACGGGGTTCTACTGTGGAGCAGTGAGGAGTCGCTGCTGCAGCCACTGCTGGCCTGCACGGGCCTTCCTGCAAGGGACAGGGTGCTCCTGGGGCGGGGGGAGGGGGGAGGGTACACATTAGACACAGGAGAGAGGGCACCACAGACTAGGGGCCTTGGCACGGGCTGGTGCCAGCCCCCCTCCTCTGGGCATCTCTGTGCAGTCAACACCTGCACAACCTTACCCCGAATCCTTGCAGGGAAGCCTCGGGCGAGAGTTAAATCATTGGAAAGTGGTTGTGTCAATCACAGTGGACCTGCCAATAAGCTGCCAAGGTGGTCAATTGGAATGAAGGGGCAGGACTAGGAAGCCTGGCAACTTGAAAGGCTCTGAGAAGTCCAGGCTTTGTGAGGACCTGCTTTGGCCCCAGTGAGAGAGAGGGATCCAGAGTTCCTGGAGAGGGGCAGGAAGTGCCCGGAGACCAGCGCGGGAGACAGGCCGGGGCTGGGCGGGCAGGAAGCCGGGCAGGAGCCTTTGAGGTGGCGGCTGCCTTTGGGGGCTGGCGCTGAGTTATCGCAGCATCAGAAACTCGGCTTTTGAAACTAGGCTGGTTTTTACGCTTCTGGCGTTTCTTTGTTTATTTCCTTTTTTGTTCTCCTTTAACATTTAGTACAATTCAAAAATATTTTTCTGTGGTTACTACCCGTAGAGGAGGTATTGTTTTAAACGCCACCCTCTCTCTCTCTCTCTCTCTCTCTCTCTCTCTCTCTCTCTGAGCACTGCGGTGAGAGCGAGGTTTTAAAGGGGCAGAGGCCCTGTCCTGAGCACCTCCCCTCCCCAGGCCGGCTAGTAGCAGAAGCGAGGGGGTGCGGGGCAGCCTCCCCCGCCATCAGCCCCTCCTGGAGGTGTCTGTTCCCCAGCTCCTGCCCCCAGCCCTGGCCCCCTGGCCCGGTGTCCTGGTTCTGCTCTGTAAGGCAGGTCAAATCCACACAGATCAGCATCCCCTCTGTCCAGGATGCTCACCCTCACCTTTTATTTGTAAAATGCACATCCCAGTGGTTTTGAGAAAAACAACAATCCCCTATTTCCTGGCCAGAACGTGGCCTCATGGGACACGGTGAGGCCCTGGAGTCAGACGTGAAACCCCAGGCTCGTTGACAAGCTGGGAGACCTGGGACTAGTGGCTGGACCGGCTGGCGTGCCTGCTCCTTGGCATTTACAGGAGATGGCACCGCCACCTCCCCGCCGCCGGCTTGTTTGGGGAGATTTACGCGCAGCGAAGTTGGCTGACCTGCAAAAGACTCTTAATAAAAAGTTTGCTCCTTCTTCTGCCCGGCGTGACCTCTTCCCGGGACAGGGCAGGGCAGACCAGGGCTCCTCCAGGGGACTGGCCCGTTTGGGGACCTATCTGCTGGCTCCAGCCAGATGACAGTCAAAGGCTCTGAGACACAAACTGGCCTGGGGGACAGGAAGCAAAGTGGCCTTAAACAAAAGAAATGGTGACAGCCTGGATCACAGACTGGCCATGGAGGAGGGTGCCGGGCAGGGAGTGTGAGGGGCCATGCCCCTGGGGGTGGCTAGGGGGTCCCTGCTGCCTCCACTCAGGAGCTGGGGTCTCCTGGGGGGGGGGAAGGGCCAGGCCCCACAGAGTAGACTTGGTGTGCGTCCCAGCCCACCAGGGTGGGCACAAGCCAGGAGCAGCAGAGGGCAGCCCTTCACCAGGGGCTCCGGCCTCAGTCACAGTAGGGGATGGGGAGGGGAGAGCCTGGAGGGCCTGGCGGGCGTCAGAGGAATGGTGCAGGGCCCGAGATGTGTCCAGGAAGCGAGGAGGGAGGAGAGGAATTCCAGGCTCTGACCCCAGCCTCCTCTGGGGGTGGGCGGCCCTGCCGTGGGTGGGAAATGCAGGACCTCCATCACTCACCCTCCGTCCCGCAGCCTCGCCCAGCGCTCACAGACCCCGGGCCTCGGGTCAGCCTCTGGCTCCTTGGCCCATGTCTGCAGTAATAACTGGTTGCTGGCCCAGACCCCCAGGCCAAGCCGAGGAGGGAGGGAGTACGGGATGGAGGCAGGGCGAGAGGGAGGGAGGGCGGAGGAAGAGGGCTGAGCTGGCTTCCCACGTCCCCTCCTCCCTGCTCCCTCCCCTCCAGCCGCTGGGTTCTGCCCAGATAATGGGAGCTCTGGATTTCCTTTGCTTAACTCTTTGGTGGGGTCTTGTTGGATTCCGAGGCCCAAAAAGTCCGCGCCAGGAGGTAATCGGAGGCCCCTGATGTGCTGGCAGAGAAACTGGGGTGGGGAGAGAGGGGGTCAGGAGCCCCTTCAGTTGCTTGGGGAGGGGAGGCAGCTCTGGAATCCTGCTCCTGGGGGCCCCCAGCTTAAGCTGAAAAGGGGAGAGGGCACAGGCACCAGCCCGGCAGCCTCAGTTCCAACTCTGGTGCCACCACCCACTCATAGGTCACACCCTAGGTGTCTGCAGAACTCCAGTGCCAGCCCCCTCCCTGCCAGGCACAGGAGAGGTTTGCTGAGTGAAGGCATTACCTGCTGGGCTATCAGGGTGGCAGCCAGACAAAACCCCCATCCCAATGGGTGCCAAAGTCCTCCTCCTCCACCTAGAATTTTGCCATGATTGATTCATCCTCCTGGTCTTCTAGAGCCAGTGCCCCTGGGGAAATGCCCCCCAGCAGTTCACAGGGTCCTGCCTCGGCTTCCTTCTGGTTAGGCTGTGGGAGGTTTAAAAAGGCTGCAGCCTTGCCGTAACTGGTTTGGCTCAGTGAATAGAGCGTCGGCCTGAGGACTGAAAGGTCCCGGGTTCGATTCCGGTCAAGGGTATGTACCTAGGTTGCGGGCACATCCCCAGTAGGAGATGTGCAGGAGGCAGCTGATCGATGTTTCTCTCTCATTGATGTTTCTGACTCTCTATCTCTCTCCTTTCCTCTCTGTAAAAAAAATCAATAAAAAATATATATTAAAAAAAAAAAAGGCCTCGATTTTCTGCAGCCAGAGAACCAGTGCAGAGCCGGTCAATGTCCCTTGCTCCCCAGCACCCTCACATTCTATATTTTTTTTAAAAAATGTTTTTATTGATTTCAGAAAGGAAGGGAGAGGGAGAGATAGAACATCAATGATGCAAGAGAATCATCAATCGGCTGCTTCCTGCATGTCCCAGACACTGGGGATGGAGCCCACAACCTGGGCATGTGCCCTGACTGGGAGCCAAACAGTGACCTCCTGGTTCACAGGTCGACGCTCAACCACTGAGCCACGCCGGCCAAGCTCATTCTTCATTGGTGCTGGACTTACTGCCTGTCCAGGCCTCTTCTTTGCAGGGGCTTCGGTACCCAGTGGCTCTTCAGACCCATTATTTGAGGGAGCCCTGCCCCGGCCTGGGGAAAGGAGCTGATGTGACTCCCAGGTCACACAGCTGCTGAAAAGGAACCACAACCCTCCAGAGCGGAAGTGCTCTCCATCGCACTGGAGTTCCCACGAGGGCACATGGGCACGGCTGTGGGCAAAGGCTGCCGTTCAGGGTTTGCCGGGAGAGGGGTGACATGATCACCCTCAGGAGGCACAGGAGGGCAGAGATCTTGGGGGATTTACTGAAGTCTGGACTTCGGGGCCCTAAACCCACCCACCGCCACTCGCAGGTGCGCCAGGCGTGGAGGACGGAACACCGCTGGGCTTGTGGCCTTGACCAGCTCTCACCGGAGCCTGTTTTCCTCTCTGGGAGATAACCAACAGCTGACTGTCCCGGCCTGAAGGACGCTTAGAGATGATCTAATCCAATTCGTTTATGTTCCCCAGGGACACTGCGATCCAGGGAGGGCAGGTCTGGCTCAAGGTCACACAGCAGCAGGAGTCCAAGCTGGGACGACAGCCAGGCTCTCCCAACGTCTAGCTCTGCTGCTTCTCCCTCCCAAGCCCACCTGGGGCCCCCCACCCCTATTTAGGGGTCCCAGGGCCCCAGACGAAAGGACTATGGCTGCTGGGAAAACGGTCGGGTCCACACTGGCTGTGCCCTCCGTGTGGCCCTGCCCCCGGCAGCACTCCCAGGGCGCAGAGCCAGGGCTGCAGAGGGAGGGAGCCAGGGAGTCACCTCCCACCCTCCCCACTCCCGCCGCTGCCGCCAGGAAAAGCGCTGAGTCAGCAGCACTGGAAGGGGAGACAGCTGGGTTTTGGTTTAAAAAGCCTCGCCTCTGAGAAAGGGGGAAGGGAAGGACAAATGGGTGGGGAGCAGGAGGGGGACACAGGAATGGTTTTGTCAGGGCCTCTTATGTGGCCAGCGCTGTGCTCTGTGCCCACTCAACCGCCCCTCTGCGGGGAAGGCTGCTCATCCCACTTAACAGGTGAGGAGGCTGAGCCCTGGGAAGGCACTTGACGCGCCAGGTTCTCGGCCAGGTCCTTTGGCCCCCAGTCACATCAATGCCCCAGAAAACAGCCCCCTGTCCCCCTGGGTGCAGGGCAGCTGGCTGGAGGCAGGGCAGATTAGAGAGCAGGACTCAAAAATATTACACTTTAATATCTGTCCTCCACTCCCTTGAACTGAGTCTGGCTCTCCTCCCAGGTTGCCTGAAACCCCTCCATCTGTGCACCATCCCTTGGCCCCCCAGCAGGCCGGGCAGCTTGGAGACAGAGCTGCAGCCCCGGGGCAGACAAGCCTGGGTGGGTCTCAGCTCCACCGCCTGCCTTCCCTTCTCCGTGTGAGACCTTGGGCATGTCTTCCTCCCTCCGAGCCTCGGTGTCTCTGGGCATGAGGGACATGAGGGAGCCAAGGCCACCTGAGCAGCCTGGTGGGACGCCCGCCGGGGGCACGCTATCCTGGCCGCCCCTCGGGGCTGCTGCTCGGTTAAACTCTGAGTGTGACGAGGGGCTGGGCCCATTCTCCTGATGCGCACAGAGGAGAAAGTGAAGCACAGAGGCAGACACTCAGAACCCACCCCCAGCCACGGGCTGGGAGAAGGTATAACACAGTGACACTGAACCGGTGCTTGCAAAGCCCTGGGAACCGTGTGCCTGTCAGAAAAGTGAGCGAGACCCAGATGATTCCTGAGGCCAGCCAGGAGCGTGGGGACTGGCCAGTCACTGATCCAACTGTTCAAGGGCAGGAACCACTTCAGAGACTAAACAAAGGAAGCCGTGAGCGCCACCAACTGGAAACCGGAGAGATCGGGTCGCGCCTGCCGGCCAGGGATGCTCCCATCCTACCCGGCCCATCACCTTCTTAGGGAGCCGAGGGGGAGGGGGAGGGAGAGGAGGAGGAAGAACCCACT